CTTTGGGAGGTGATTAGATTTGGATGGGGTCGTGGGGTGAAGCCCCCATGATGGGACTGGCACCCTTATAAGGGGATGGAGAGCAAAGAGCCTTCTCTCTCCGCCATGTGAGGACAGAGCAAGAAGATGGCGGCCTGTGAAACAGGAAGCAGGTTCTCAGAGACATCCAATCTGCTGGCACCTCGATCTTGATCAGACTGCAGAACCGTGAGAAGTGTTAAGCCACCAGCCAGTCTTTCTGTTACAGCAGCTTGCACAAGGGCTGTTTGGAGCATGGCCCAGCGGGGCACGATGGGGGCTGCCGGGGCTGGCAAATGGGTTCTTGTCCTTTAACTATTCCACAGAACAGCCACCAACTCCGGTCACTGCAGATTCAGGCTTCCAGTCGCTCAATCCGGGCACTCCGAGGTCCTCGGCGGAGACGACGGCGGGAGCTGAGCCTCAGATCTCTCCATCTTCAGTGCCTAGGACTGAGCCTGGCACACACCAGGCGCTTACAAACTGCGCAACAGAATTTTTGGTTTTAATTACGGGCCATGAGCCCTGGAGACCCAGCATTCTGTTCCACTTCAGGAAACCCTCAGCATCAATCATCCAGGACCAAGGACTCTCAAATTTAGGCCCAGTCCCTATTTTCCTAACGGAATCTCTCAGCTGCAGTATCTGTATCTTTCTTCAAAAACAGCATACGATTTCCTCTTGTTAAAAAAAAAAAAAAGCTTATGGCTTTGCTCGTAGCAGGCGAGAGAGCTAGCTGGATTTGCAGACAACCTCGAGTGGCTAACGAATGATTACCGTGGCTTGTCCAAGGGATGGACTTTTGCAAATAAAAAACAAGGCTGAAGTTTCAGGCCATTTTTAGAGGCAGTTTCAGGGGTAAGGATGGGATGCTCACTGGTTGGAGTCTCCGGGACCAGTCAGTGGTCTGTGGGAGGAGAGCTGAAACCAGAAAACATCGGTTTCTGACAGGTAGACATTTGAAGGCTGTCCTGGGAAATCCGGGCCGGACAGGTGCCCCGCACTGATGCGTTAAACCACAACACAAATACGTAAACTCCAGAGAAATGACCAGGTTCTAGCTTCATGACCCTCAGCACAACACTTAATACTCTGGGCTGCTCATCAGCTCTCCGAAAGCCTCCAGCTTTCGCCCTCTGAGGACGTCGTCACTGGCCCCCTTAGCAAACCAGGTCTGGTTTCACCAGGGTTTGTGAGAAGCTACTAACCTCTCTGGGACTCGGTTTCCTTATCCAGAACAAAGAGGATAAAATTAGAAGCCGTCTTGAGCACTGAAAGAAAATGGACTTTGGACTTAGGCAGGCGAGTCTCAATCCTCAGCCCCGTGTGACGCAAAGCAGGTTACT